ATCCTGCCTGTCACATGTCTCTGGAAGTCCTGTTGTTGGCTTTTATAGCCATAAAATTAGGTGCCTCAGCTCTGTCTCATCTCTGATCTGTGCATCACTGACTCCAGAGGTATAGTTAAACCAAAAAAGCCTGGGCTGAAGTGTGTTTTATAACATCCCCCTCCCCTCCTTCTGTCTTACAAGCTAGATAGAGTCTCATGAAGCTAAGGCAAAACTGTGACTTAAAGAGACTGGCTTGGGTCAGAAGGAATAAAGCTGTCTCTTAGTATTTCCAGAAAAGGGCTGTTAAGAGCTTGGGACAGGACAGAAGGAGTGGTAGAAATGGAGAAGTGAAAACAGTGTGCACATTTTTTCCTCATGATGAAGACAGGTTGGTGACCTCCTCTCTTACAGAGGAAGCTTCCTGTGTTGGCTGCCAGGATGGTTTTGCCCTCTCACTTTCTCAACTGATGGTGATTCTGATGTCTGGAATTACTGCAATTCTAGGTACGTTACCAAAACACTGGTTAAAAGTCAACAGATGGTGTCACTTTGGGCAAACAGGAAAAAAAATAATCTGTGCATAATTGAAAGCCTGTGCCATATGCTGAAGCTGGTTGTAAGCAGTTAAAAGAAAAGAAATTCATGTAGCCAAACTTAAGTTTTTCTTTTGCAATTTTTCTATACTCTTGTTAAAAATGTATGCCTAATTTAAAAGAGAGCTGGAGAAGAGGACATCTTCAGTGTCCCTTATTTCATATGTATGTAATATGGTACCCTAGATACTACTCTAGAAAGTAATCTTTTTGCAGCTAGAAATTCTCACTTGTTAGCTGATCCTCAGAAGACCTAAGCAACTCCACATCTGTATGTGTTACACAGGAATGTGAGAACTAGGAAAGCTGGTTTTATTTTTTTCCAGCATTTCATGAGGTGGTGCTGGTCAGGGTGAAACTCTGTGTGCTATCCAGCTGGGGAGCTGGACCCGCTTGCACAGGGTGGCAACAGGATCTCTGCCACCAGCAAACAAGCTGCACTGGAACTCCAGTAATGTACAGTAAAAGCCACTAGCCTTGATCTTTAAGCTGAGATTTCTGAGCACCTCAAACTTACCCACTCGAGTAGCAGGCTGTCTTCTCATTGTTTTCTGGTGAAGCTGTATGGATTTTTCCTCTAGCACTGTTCCATATGGATCAAATACCAAAAGCTAGTTTCCAGTATGTCAGGAAGTGCTTCAAAGTATAAACACAGGAAAAAGTATCTATAGAAAAGAAAGAGGGCTTTATGGAAGCCATATGATCATGTTTTGTTTGGAGACGGACTGCTAACAAATTTTAATGAGTATTGCATTTTGCCTTTTCATAGAGCAGGATAAGTGTAAGTCACCTACCATTTCTCTTTGTGTCTGAGACAAATCCATGTGTTTTGAGATCATAATGATTATAAATGTTCAGTAGACAGTGTGCCATCCCACTCACTTTTTTACTGTAAAGTAAAAAACTCTTGGATTTGCACCTACTATTCTTTCAAAATCATTTAACTTGATTTATTTCACTCCAGTGCAAAACACCTTATAATAAAGTTTTACTATGTTTTATCTGAAGGGAATAATGAAGATTTCAGGCCTGGTTTGTCAGTGAATGACTTGCATATCAAGTCAGAATTGTAGAACAGTAGCGTTATTTAAACAGGAAAAGATGTCATCCTGATTTTCTTGTAGCTGTTTTGAGTAAAGCTTGCTGCATGTAAATATTACATAGGTCTATATTTTTTGCACTGACATCTGATTTCTTGTGTTGCCTGATTATATAAATACATACATTAGTAGAGATTCCTTTTTTAAAACATTAGATTTACGAAGGTAGCACAAATGACTTTTGATGGTGTAATCCCCCTTTAAAATAGTTCCCATTAAAGAAAACTATTCTTAGCCCTGACATCAGGGGTGTCATGCTTGCAACTTCGGATAATACATGTATATCCACTGTGCAAAACCCCTTCCTGTTTTGTTTTCAGCATTGGTTATGTTACACATTAGTATCTACTTTTCTTGTGAAACCATCTTTCTACATATACACTCCATTTTTGCCCATAGGAAAATGGATAATTTGCATGTGAAGTGGATAAAACCATGATTTTCTTAGTTAGGCTCTGGTTTTAGAAAGCTTGTTACAAAACCTGATTTTATTTTATGCCTATGGGTAGCAGTTATTTTTAAAGATATTTGCTTTTTATGAGTTGAAAATGGTGAATCGAGGTAGTGAAAATTTCCTTGGTTTTCCTCACAAGTTAATCCTACTTCTTTCGGTAGAATTACAGTGAAACTGCTTGCTAGTTATACACTAACTCAGTGTTTTCACTTGCTGTTAATGGTATTCTGTTTGTGGGATATGAGAGGGCTTTTCACTGGTCATGGTATTACTTTTTTAACCACCTACATCATAAATTAATTAGTAATTTTAGTTAATGCCAAATTGGCTTAGTCATTTTGTAAGTATTTCAAGTAGCTGCAAGGATGACACAGCCATGTTAGTTATTAACTATGATAACCTTTATTCTTCTACTGGCTAGTAGCTCCACTAAAAATTCACACTGGTACTGTATTTTGGCATCTGTCAGCTCAGAGGCACGTCCATACTGCCAGCCTTGGAGTTATAAAAGCATCAGTTAAGAGTGTCCAAAAATTTAATTGGACCTTCTCAGTTTTGTGCTTTGTATCATTGTTACTGAAGAAGAAAGCAAATGGGGAGGGCTTAGCTTGTGCCTTGACTGGCACTGTATGACTTTGTGAACTTGTGTTTTATTTCTTTGTTGGCTGAAAGAGGAAATCAATCAATCTCTGTTAAGAGATTCAGGGATTTGAGCTGGGTAGCAATTTTCGCATGACTCATAACACTTCACTAAATTAGCTTGCTAAGAAGAAGATGTGCTTCTGTGAAACTATGCAGTACCTGGGCTGGAAGAGAAATCAGTTTTGACAGAAGAGCTCATAAGAGTCCAGCTCACACCTTTGGTAATGGCAGTGGAAAAAGTCATCAGTATTGATCATCTCAAGTCCTTATAGCCTGAGCTCTTGCATAGTGCCACATCACCTTCAGCTCATCTTTGCTGCAGAGATCCTGGATAAGCACAGAAGCAGGGGCAAATACAGAAGTGAAAACGGAAGAAGGGGAATAGCCAGCTGTCCACGGAGCATCAGTAAGTGCTTCTTCTGCATGTAAATCTGGGGACTGCAGCTTGATACCCTAGAAGTGGAGTGTTTGGAATAAGCACATACTAACATTTTGCAGAAAATTAGATGTCTTGAGAAACATTCACAATGTTTCTCACCGATTTTGTGATGTTTAAGGGATATTTTGCTGTAAGCAGTTTTCCACATTTGTGCACTGACATTGTAACTTCTATGCATAGAGATACATAGTAGAAAACGGAATAAAAATATCTTGTGATGTTTGCAGCTGAAGTTTCCGTAATTTATCTGCATTTTAATGGTCTAATCTAGTTTCCTTAGTTCAAAAGAACAGCTCCCTTAGATACAAGCTGGCCTCATCATTTATCTGAAGGAAAGATGATTAGCCTTTATTTGCAGTTATTTCTCTTGACTGGTGGAGGCTACTGCAGTGAGGCTTGTTTTTGTTTTATTGTGCCAGCAAGGAGTAAATACCAAACCAGATGCTACTTTTGCTACTTTACTACTGGCAGCTGCCCTGCTCTGCTTCTGGACCTACTGCACTGCCATTTTCCCTACATCTGCAAGAATGACTTGATTTCCTGTATCGTTCCTGTCTCACCAATCTCATCCTTGAGTTAGTTGTCCTTTTGCTGTTCAAGTGCTGTGGTGTTGAGCACAGGAGCTGAGAGCAGGAAGATTTTTCTTGCAATGCTTCATCTGTGGCCTACCAAGTACCTGTGTGATGGAGGCAGGGTAGCAAAGGTAGCAGCTGCAGGAAGAAAATATAGTAACTGGAACAGAGGGAGGGAGAAGAGAGGAGAGGTGGCGAAAAGACCATGAGAGAGGCTTAAGGTATTTCATACTAGAACAGAAGATGGAGGGTAAAAATCTGACCACTGAAGGAGACTGCTTTTCTAATTGTCAAGTTTGAGACAGAATTCAACATTTTCACTACTGCTCTGAGGCCTAAAAAATAGCTCTGAGCCCCATGTGTTTCTTGAGTACTGTCTAGGATTGGTCACTGCTGAGGATGAAAGAAAGTCTGCTCCTACTGGGAAATGCTCTACTAGCTCAAGAGGCAATATCTGTGACATGGCTCTAGGTTGCCTAATCCTATTGATGAACACTGTTGGGATCAATATAATTCCACATGTTGGAATGGCTGTATTTTTTCTGGTGATTACTCCCTCCCTCTCCAGATAGAAAATTAAATATAACACCCAATGCCAAATAGATTGATAAAAGTTTTTACGTACTCTGAGGGGAAAGAGAGTATGTGATGATAACTGAAGCAAAGCTGTAATGCATAGTTGCAAGGAGGCTGAATTAAAGTTGCATGAGCTTTCTTCCTTAAATTAATCTGGTGCAGTATAATTGTCTGAAAATAACTAAAAGCTCAGCTGTGAGCTTCTGTACGTTGGAAGAAATGCCTGTACGTCGGTCTTCACAGAAAAGTCCTGAAGGCAAAATGCCAGCCATAATTGCACAAAGTAAACTTATTTCATCATGGAGAGAAAATTGCGGATTAGCATCTATACTTGTTTCTGCCTCTGTTTTTCTGCACCCCCTGCACTCCGATGTGTCTGCACTTCTTATCTGTGGGTGTGGTACATTTCCTACAGCAGGAAAAGTTCTTGAGGACTCGTGTGTCACGTGGCACAGTAGTACCTTCTTGGGCTGCTTGGCTGGTGTGGATCACACCCATAGGGTTGGGGTGCAGAACTGCAGCATTTCCAGCCCCACTTGCACAGAAGCCTACCTATTGGCAGAATAAGGTGAGCACCATCATCATTAAGCACTCACATTTGAAATTACACCGGTGCTTCACTTGTCAGTTTAGGATTTTTGCTGCCTTCCCCTCCAATGTGAAGAAGTTGGTGTTCTTTTAGATAACATTTTTCACATGTGTGGATAAGCAGAAGCCAGCAATGTTTCAGACATCATCTGCTGACAGGGCAGCAGCTATACAAACTGCTATCCTAAAACAGGTTAAATGGCAATTGGGAGGGTTTTTGTGAGTGTGGCATCTAATGCCTTGTCTCTTTCAGTTTTATCACGTCAGGGCTCAGGTGGCAGTTCCGATTAAAAGCATTACAGATACCCAAATAAGAACGTAGGGTATGCATTGGCTGGAAGCTGACAGGGTTTAAGTAATCACCTGCAGTTGAATTGAGACTCGGATGGGAAGTAGGAAGTGCTGTACTCAAGCTTCCTGTATAAATAAATGCAGCTTTCCCACAGCTACTGCATACAAGCTGTGACGTGCTTTTAAGATATAATAGCAGCATGCTTTTAGTAGCAGGGAGGGAATGATTTATCAGGAGTGGCAAAGGGGCTGGGAGACAAGTCCTGCTGCAGTCCTAAAAAGTGTACAGCTGTCAGATACCGGGTGAAGAGGAAGGGCGTGCGAGAGCAATCTGCCTCTGCTCCTGGTTGCGAGCTTTAGGGGTTTGTGACATCGTGGTTCTTTGGAACGCTGGAGTCTGAGTGCAGCTACTGAAAAGTCACACAGCTGGCAGTGAATGCCACTCTCCTTTCAAGGTAAGTCGGAATACAGCGTCCTGATTTTTTTTCCTTAAAAGCAAAGGTTACCCTGCATACAACAGGAAGCCAGCTTTTGCTTCTAATGGAAGGAAAGGCTTAGTTAGAAAAAAAGGTAAGAAGTAGAGTGATTAAAGAGCTAAAATAAATGTTATTTTTCATTTGGCTAAAATTGAACTGTGTGGTGCTTAGAGCTGAGGCAAAAGGAAATCTTGGAGGCTTGACTGTTAAAGGCACAGAAAATGAAATAGACATCAGGTACTTCCCAAAAGGATGAGGTTACTTTTGTCAGTGTAACTTGTAAAGAAATATCTGTGTAAAGTGTTTGGAAATGTTGCAGTATTAGGACATATCTTTGTGGAAAGCAGTTGCTAAGATGGCATACTGTCAGTACTATAGCTGTTTTAGTTTGAATACAAGAACTCTGTTCACACTGAAAACACATCTGATTAAGCTGGAGAGAGCCCTAGTTTGAAATGCAGAGATTTACTCCTGGTTTAAAGGCATTTCTTCTGCCACGATCTTGTACAGCTGCTATCAGGAAGGAAAAATATGCTGATCTGTAATATTAGTGTTAATGTGCAGGTCTAATCTGCTCAGGGTTGAGGGTTACGTGGTTATGTAAGCACATACTAAATATATAGTACATTTCTTTTCTAGTTTACATATTTACACTTTTTTACCCTAAGAACAGAAAACTGCATTTACTGGCATGTTTGCACTGCTCTCTCAGAGTAAGGCTGTCTCAATACAACGCTGGTTCAGTAACGAAGATGTTTTATCATAAAGCTCTGTATTTTCTGTAATACAAGGGCACCCTGCTTCCTAACTGTTTACAGCAATATATTTTAATTCAGAGAAAAATATTTATGAGTGTCATATCTAATGCCTTGTCTTTTTCAGTTTTATTGTAACTTTTATTATAAGTAAGCAGTAAATTACTTAGGATGAGTGTAGTTAAGAAAGCATTGCAAGGTGACTTCCCATCCTCTTGGTAAATAGACACTGAATGCTTTTAAGAAGTAAATTTCAGCAGAGATACAGGCCGTGACTGAAATACCCTCATGCAGCTTTCCCCTGACTGTGTGCAGGCACAGCAATATGATATGTTTGGCTACCCTCAGACTGAAGGGCAAGTGTTCTTGGTTAAGGGCAAGCACTGGGTTTGGAGTACCAATAGTTATAGAAGTGGAAGTTTCAGAATCCTGTCCTTAAATATTTTCCAAAATGTATATATTGACCTGATTCTGGTCCTGTTTGGGATTTGCCTATGCCTGAACTTCAGTGGGTGTAGGGGTTCTTGTGATAGCATGAAAGTGGCTTAAGCTCTTCCCTCAGTGAACATAAGCTAGGTTTGAAAAAACTACAGCACATTGATAAAGGGATGGCTGCAGTTATGATGCCAAAAGTAATGCTTTAGATTATGGATGGAGAAGCATGTGTTTGCAGAGTGCCTAAAGCTGTGGTGAGGTGGGAGGTACTCCTTCAAAATAAACTAGAGCTATTCCAGAGCCAAGCCAGTTATGATGAGAATCAGACTCCTTTTCTCCCACGTGTCTTACTGTCCGGGGGGGGGGTATTTAATACAAAAGTGCTGTCTGCTTATGCAAGGACATGGAAACCTCCGAACACTTCATGTAGGAATAGCATTTGGCAACCTGGTATAGTTTCTGTTCCCCATGCTGAACTCCTGCATAGTCATGGTATTTCCCACAAATGGTGACATTTTGGTGGTTTTATGTGTGTGGAGGTATATGTTGGAGCAAAAGTTAATAACATAAATAGCAAACAATATGGAGTTGTTTCTCTCTAGCTAGGTTCTTGGATTACACTATGTTCTCTAGATGCTTCATAAGCTTTGTAGAAATAAATAGTGCATGTGGTTATTTGGCCTTTCCCTTCTGGTGGAGAAGGAAAGTATGTATTTGTCCTTATTATCATCTTAAATTTAAAATGGAACTGTGAGAAGCAGCAAGTCGCTTCACAGGAAAACAAGCAGCACTAATACTTACTGTGGTTCCCAGTTCATTAGTATGCCTCTGATAGTATCTGTGGTATGAGTCTGAGCCCTGTGCTTGCAATCCACCCTGTCCAGACCTTTCAGTGACTTTTAGTGGTGAGACCCGGTGGAGTGTACTTCTTTGATAAGTAGCTCAAAAAACCTGCTACAGACTTGCTGTCCCTATTCTTGAGTGGGGAGTTTTCTTGGATGTGTCTGAAACTATACAGTGCCTATAGATTGTATGTATTGGATCCATAAATATCTCTTGGGCTAGTAGTACTGTGACATCTGAGACCATAATTACAGCTCTGGGTCCATGGATGTCACAGGCATACATGAACAGAATACTGTGGCAGGCTGCCAGTGTTGCTGTGAACTGAGTCCATTGAACCTCTTTGCACATGCCAAAGCAGACATTGCCTTCAGCTTCAGGAGGCTGAAAATGGTTCTGGATCTGTTCTGGATCTAGATCTTCCTCTGCATGCTGTTTGGGAGGTGGGTACAATTCCCTCCTCTCCCTGTGGCTTCCCCATGCCAAAACCTAGCCCTTTGTAATGCACTTCACAAATTCTCTTCATTACCCAACAGCCAGGAATAACCTTACATTCATTCCATCTCAGAATTAATCTTCTTTTTGTTTGTGAAATGGAATACTGAACAAAATGAAAAAGAACAGATCCAGAGAGAAGGATAGCAGTGTTACTAAGCTCAGCCCCTAGCATTCCGTATTTCTGCAGAAGCACAGCTGGAATCCAGTGCTGGACTATGAGACTTCTCACTTGATAGAAGTACAGGTTGGAGGGCCATTGTACACTGCAAATTTACTTAGTCTTGGACAAATATTTACAGAGATGCTTGAGCCAAATAACTTTGTGCTGATCAGTAAGAAAATAGTGTTCAGTAATCTTCCTCTGTGTCTCTCGTAACTGGTTTCGGCTTAGTGGGAACTGAGTGGGCATTACACTCATAAAGTGCCAGCAGATACTAAAACACTCATAAAAAAAAAAAAGTATCTCAAATTACAAAAGACCTCATCCTTCACTTCCTACAAAAGAGGGACTTTTCCAACTCCTAGGCTTCCAGGAAGGAGCAGAAGTGCCAAGTAGAGATTTCTTGAGGGCATGACTAGGGTAACTGCATTGAAAACATACTTTCAGTTTAAAAATGTAGGTATATAAAAACCATTTTGTTGATGCAGTTTCATAGGTCTCTTTGGATGTGTTGATACTTGCACACAATGACATATGTGTTCCCCATTTCTGGTTCCTCTTACTCTATTACAATAAAGAAAAAATGTTGTGGGTTGCCCAAAACCTGGGTGGTTTTCCACTGTATTTCTAGGGGAATCTGATCAGCCTCCAAGGGAAAATCCATAATCTGTAATTGGAAATGACATCAGTTTGCCTGATTCTTTGAAAGTCCTTGGTGACTGCAGGTATGGTTTTAACTTCAGTGGTGTTTGGGCTACTAGACTACGGGACCTGTGGGTATCCTTGGGCCTTGTGTTTCTTAGTGAGTTGGAATCTCTGGAGTCCCAAAGCCCACCAGCACCAGGCACAGAGATTTGGGATATGTGAATCTGGCTCCTGCTACGGAATGGATAGCCTTTCTGAAGTAAGGCAGTCCTGGACATTCTGTAGTGAAGGGACTCCTTGTTTAAATTAAGTTTATATAAAACCTAATGAGAAGTTCAGTACCTGCCTGACAGACTTCAGAGACTGTAAATAAGGGCAATTGGCTGAGTCAGGGTGGGACTACCAGAACTGGGACTTAATAAGGTGTATTTTTTTTGGTGTTAGTCTGGAACTGTTACCAGTGATGATAGTGAAGCCAAGATATGCTGTTCATGAAAACTATAACCAGGATGTTACTGTGGAAAAGTCCAGCGTGTGTGTGTGCGTTTGTGCATGCTAGAACACATCCCCTGCTTGGAGCTACCTGTATGCTGGAGCTTTTTGTAGACACAAGAGTCGTGGAGAGTTTCTCTACATGCTTTTGGTCTGAAAGAGAGATCAGAGATGCTGACTAGGAGACAGAGTACAGAATTACTTTATACTTTTACTGTCATTCTCATGTTTCTTCCCCTTTAATTGAGAATGTCAGTGTTTGTGACTGTTGTTTTTCTACCTTTCACTTTGTTGTAATGATGAGGAGAGGAGGGAAAGTATAAGACATGAGTCATTGCTCAGAGTGGACGCTGTCTGGGTGTCTGACTGAAGCTTTGATATTCATGTTTGGTTATACAAGCTATTGTATTTTCAGACTGTAAAGGAGTAAATGTGCAGATCTGAAAACGTTTATGAGCTCTATGCTTACAGAAAGGAAAAACATTGCAATGGAAGAGCTGTATCTCTGTGTTCAGGGACTGAAACAGGTCTTTCAAGACTACCTCTACTTATGCTTTTATGTACTATATGTTGCTGCGGCTTAGGGGTGAATTCCTTGCTTATGTATATATAGCTGCCAATCATTCAAAATTGCATGCTCCAAACCCCTGTATACATAGAAGGTAAAACACATTTCTTGACAGCTAGTATATAAGCTAATCATTTGCATGCAAAGAAAATTCCAAGATTAAGTAGAAGCTGTGATGTGCAGGCTGACACTGGTTATATCTGAGCTGTAGATGGGAAAATTCATGTGTTCTGCTTTGTGCTTAATTTTGGAAGCATTCTGATGGGTGGAGGTGGTGAGATGATGAAGGAAAGCAAGCTGTTTTTTCCCCCTTCAAAAAAAGAAGGTGGGTTGGAACTAGATGTTCTTCCCTTCCAACCCTAGCCATTCTATGATTCTATGTAGTCAGTGGGGAAAACTAGCTGATCCTGTGGGCTGTTTAGTATTGCACGCTCTTAAAGATTTTTCACAGCAGCAAACACTCCAATAACCACTGGTCCTGGAACTCTTCCTAATAGGGTTTACCCGTTATAGGGCTAAGATAACATCCACAAGGCCAGCAATAACTTGCTTGCTGAAGTTTTGCACAATGGAGAGGACCTTGCACCTTCCTGACCTGTTCGCAGTTGCACTAATGGGTTCAGTGGTGGGGAATCTCTATCGCAGCCCTCTAGGGAGGATTTGTGGGAAATGCAGTCATGCCCTTTGCCTGGAGTAGAGTGAAAGCCACATATATATATAATTAAGCTGATTCTACTCTAAGGACATGTGTTTTTTGGATTGGTCAATGTTTTTATTGCAAATACCCAAGCAGTGTACGTGGCTTGACTGGTTTCAAACCTGTTGTTGACTTAGCTTCCCACATTTTGGGAGCATAGTCCAACAAACAAAGGAAACATGCAGTTGTGGGGAGAGGAGTAGAGAAGGAGTAGAGAATTCTGGACGTAGGTCCTTTTTTGTAATTCCTTAAGAATGAGGACAGAATGCCTGTCTGAGGGGCATTAGTTGCCAAGGTCATTATTAACAGACCAGCTAGCAGAAAGATATCTTCAGAAGCTTTTTGTAAGATTGGCTCACTCTAGTATAGTAAGTCTATAAGTTCCTTCAGTGCTGTGTTCTACATACTCATTTTACTGAGTGTTTGAGAGGTGGGACACCTTTCTTCGTCTGCTCCTAGTTGCTTGTCTTTGCACACATAAAGCAGGTCCATTGGAGCTATTGGAAACACTGCCATTGGCAGGGCTTTGACTTCATGGGTAAGATCATGTAGAGACTAGCCAGTTGTTAACAGATATTAAGGCACTTGAGTCTGCAATCTTGTATGTTTACAGGTTGCTGTTCTCCTTTGAAATTAATTCTGCAATAGAGGTTGAAATTTGGAACTCAAGTGAGGGAATGATAAATGCAAACCTCTAACTGCATTTGATGTACACTTCTGGTTTATTATATGTTTTGTAGTATCATCTGGATTTCTAAGTTGTTGCATTGAGCCTTTGAGAAAATAACTGTGTTCCCTGTGCTTAACACTGTACAGCAAAAATCTTCTGTGAGTGCTTAAAGCCTGAAACATGGAGACAGAAGATGGATACAGAAAGTTAGGTGGGAGAGGGCAGGGCAGCAATGAGATAATATCGCATCGCATGATGGACGTGCATTGCATGCATGATGGTCCTCGTCTGAGCTGCTGCAAAGCTTTTTTTCTCAAGTTTAAGAAAATTACATTTCTGTCTTACATAGTTAATAAGATGCAGAGCAAAACATATCATGCTCTGTTAAAAATGTTAATTTATAAAAGTGGGAATATATAGGTGATTTAAAAATATGTAGCTGCTAAATTTAGTCAAGAGTGTAAAACTAACTGTAATTGAAGCTATTACTGTTATTCTAGCATAGTTTGCAACTTCTGTTAAATGGAGTGTATGTGAAGCCTACCAGAGGTTAGAGATGTTCCGTATTCACACTTGATTGATGGGGCGGGCACCATGGGGCTTCTTCACACTGGGGCAGCAGGCAATGTGGAAGGAATCACCTGCAGCAGAGCTCCTCCCAGGAGCTGTCTCCCAGCATGCTGGTCTCATTGCTCTTCCCATCCGAGGGCTGGAACAGAGGGAGAGCAAATGTGGATATTAAGAGGAAAGCAGAGAGAAACTCAGTCAGCAGATTGCTGCTGGTGTTTATTTCCCTCTTTTGCCTCTGCAGTTCTGGCCAGAGTTGGGACTAGTTCAGTGCTCTGTCCTTTTGTCATCTCCAGCTGCAGCTGACTTTGATAGGGTTCATTCAGGAGCTAGCAGAGAGGTGGTTTAGGGTTACACTCTGATTAGTTTAGTAACTAGTTGTGAGAAACAGTAATAGTTCCTTCAGTAAGTGCATGTGTTTAGTTTCAAAACGATCTGTTCCTATCTGGGTCCAAACCCTTCTTCTTAATGACTATATTATTTCTTAACAACCTCCAGTATAGTCAGTGTTGTTTTCTTAATGGAAAATTAAATTTATGTTGCTTTCATAATAAAAAATGCTTATGTTTGTGATAGAGACTTCCCCAAGGTCTAATCTTCAGGTTTGATTCCCAGCGTTTGATTCACTGAACGTCACTGTAGCTAAAACTTGAAAGTGACCACTTTCTAAATCATTGAGTTGTATTGGATCAAGGGCACTTCTCAGTGTAGTACCTGTTTATCTTGGTTGCCTTGAACAGCATGTTTATTCTGTAATAATGGACAGCATATTTGACTGAAAGATTAGATAGGGGCAAAGTAAAAAATTATACTTAATAGTCTTACTGAGCAGTCACACAAAAATTGTTATAAAAGAAAATTAACTTATTCTTTGATTCCTGTTGATGTAAATATAAAGTTGCGTGTTTTTGATGCTTGTAGTGAGTAGACTGTTGGACCATAATCTTGCAAGTTTGCAGTTACCTCAGCCTGACAAGATGAAATCAAAGCAATGTTAAAGGCATCATCCTATTGCAAGCACTGAAAAAACAGTGTTCAGATCATCGCTTCCAAAACTAAACACCTAAATATGCACTTTTTTTTTTTCAGTAGGTGGTAAGTAAATTTATCTGGTACATGGTGCTTTTGCAGAATTCAGTGGAGGATCAATTTCACTGTTTCGGTCAGCTGAGTTGTTCTTTGGTTTCTGGCAAACTCTTCACGCTTCTCTTGGCCCTAGGAAGTTTCTTGCTGTCCTTTTCAAGGCCTGGCTTTGTGTCATATCTCCACTTGCCTTGACCTGCTTCCCTTGCAGTCAGGACGCTGCTTGCTCCAGACGCAGCTTTGCTACTCTGAAAAAGGAGCCATCTCCAGCCAGAGGAGCCTGACAGCCCCATTAGTTTCTTGTTAGAAGAACAGTACATATATGAGCAAACAGATGAAGTTGGTCCCTCTGTAAAAGTCCCATTGCTTTCACTTGAACAATGCTTGTTTACAAATGTCTTCTAAAAATCCTTGATGTTAGAACAGGCCAGTGTCACAACTATCTTCTGAGCACACCCGTGTCTAAGCTATAAACATTCCATCTCAAGGAGTTAACATATCCCAAGGTTTTGTTATTTGATTAACAAAAATAAACTTTTTTTTTCTGTGTCAAAGGCAAATTTTTACATCTGACTTCCTGTTTCAGCTGAGACAGCTAGCCAAGATAACTCATTTGACCTTCTGAAAGCTCCTCCTAAAGCCTTTTTAATTAGTAAATGCTACAGTTATGAAAAGCCTTCATGTGGTTGGAAAGGAAGAACTATCATTTGCTTTTGGCATTAAAGTTATGAAGACTATGTTTTTATTTAACAGTGGTATATTACCTCTTGTCAACAGGAAGTTAAAAGTAAAGTGCACCAAACTAGTTTTGAGGGAAATTCCTTGTAGTTTAGCATTAACAGATGTTGCATAGTGTCACTGAGAATAGGGGATGGTATTTATATAAGCTTGAGAGTTTAATCTTAGATCTGGCAACCAATGCTAACAATTCCCCTTGGTATAATTTTACTACTTGTTTTTTTTTTCAGTGTGTTTTGGAAATACTTGGAAATGTTTGATGCCAAAACATGCAAGTTCTGTTATCTGACTGCACTTTGCTGTGTCACTGCATTTTGTGATGATCAGCTTCCTTTAGCTCTGTTTTGCTGGGCTGAATATAAATCTTCAGGGGAATCCTGCTCCTGAACTTCTGTGAGACCAGATGCATCAACGTAGCCCACTGCCTGTGGCTGGCATTGTCACGCTGCTCAGGTATAGCAAGTTCGATACATCTGGGTCATCCCAAACTTGATACCCACTGCCCAGGGCTCATGTCCAATAGGTCTAGTGGTGGGAGCTATGCCTTTCCAGCCTGCCAGTTTTGACAGAGCTGTATCCTGAACTTTGGTGTGTCCTAGCTCAAGTACAGTTCCAGCAGAACTGAGCCAGTGTGGTGGCTTTTGCGATGTGATGGTCTGACCTCATACCATGCTTACTCCTGTCTTCAGGATTCAATGAAATTAGTCATTGTGTGGCTCCTGTCAGTATTGAAAGGAGATGAAGACCGTATTGTGATTATGCATTTCAGTTTAGTAAGAGGCTGCATTATTTCTTTTTCAGTCTTTGTGTTTTTATCTGTAAGTATTTTTTTTTGGTTGCTAATGTGGTATGAAAATACTCCATACAACCGCTGCTTCTTGAACAGCAGCTGGAGGGCTCTTTCTTTTTTTTCCAGGCATTCCCATGAAAGCAGGTGAGAGGAATTGCCTTCAGTGTGTTCTCATGTACGGGCAGCACGTTTACCTAGGCTGCTTGGTTTTTAAACAAGTTTTCTTAAAATAAAAATTCTACAGTGCAGAAAACTGACATGAAATGTTATATATCTGACTTTTCTTAAGCCCTGCTCAAAGAGAACAGATATTGGAATATGTTTATTCTCTCTAATACTTAGTCTTGGTAACATATTATGATAATCCAGAAATGGGTTTTCCTTGTACATGCATGTAATCAACTGCTTGCTGTATTAAGGCGCAGATGTAATACATTAATTCTGAATATATTAAAAATGTATTTAAGATTAGACTCTCTATTCACGGATCTGGTTGCCTTTTTTTGACACCACAATTTCAGAAAATCTCAAGTACTCGTTTAACTTGTTAGTAGTCCCATTGCAGTAAAGCAAAATATTCAGGCTTTGATACACAGGAACACTTAAACGTATGATTAAATGTCCTTCTTGAAGATGAAGGCTTTCCTGATTTGCAGCTTTAATCATATGTTTTACAGCCTTACTGAGTCACTGCTTGATAACTAATGCTGTATGGACTAGATTGATAGCTCTGTTTAAACAGTGCATATCAAAAGGCGGAGAAATGAGTGCATTGTGGTTTAGTGGTCAGTCAGTCTATTAGACCGCAGAAGTTCCAGTGTGCTTGATTCAGACTAATTCTTTGTGCAGAGCTTTTGAGTTTAAAAAAGCTGCTTAAGAAATTAATTTTGACTGACATAGTATCAGGAGAGTTGGGACAGCTCGGGACTTGCAGCCAAAACTGGTAATGATGGGGTTTTGCTGAAGGTGATAGAAGTGTGGGGGTTTTGACAGCTGTCTTCACATGTCCTAATTTCATAGTTCAGTTTATACCTTCTGTGGTCTGACCCTGTTATCTTAATACCACTCAGTTACATTTTTGAAGTCTTTCTATAATTACTCTTTTTCTCTAAGGCTCTGATTTTTAGCATTGGTTTTGAACACTTATATGATTCAGGTAACTATCTTTTTTATCCTGTTTTTTAAGGGGGAGACCTCAGTTACAGGAAACAACAGAATTCTGACCTGAACAATGTCATAACAGGTTTTTATATGGCATTGCAATAATTTTGTAATGGGTGGGGTACTTAAAAAGTCTCCAGGGCATGAGGAACAATTACAGTGCTTGCAAATATTTCTTCAAGAAAGTTCAGTGAATACCTGGTACACTAAATAGGAGCTTAGCACAGGTGCTACGAGTTCATTTTGATACTGAAATGGTTTATGTCAAATGGGGAAGTGCTGTGTTAGACCCACACATGACCTTAAACGTAACCACGACCTCTTTATGATCCCACCACGTTGATGCAAGTCCATGCCTGGGTTCTGGTTTATGGCAAGCCTGGGGGGTACTGGGGTGCATGGGACTGTCAGGGCGCACCTTGCTCCACAGGATGGGCTTGAGGCACACACCATCCCACAGGGAAAAACCTGTACCCTTTTTATTCCATTAATGTTTCCTGGAGCAATATGTCTTATGTTTATACATGTCTTGACTTCCTTTGAATCCAAACTCAGCTAAAAGCATGCAGCACTACTAACTTGAGCAGAATTGTTTGTAAACACAAGGCTTGAAGTAGCTTCTGCAAGAGCTCTGTTGCTGCTGTTGGAAGCAGCATGTGAAAAATGAAAGGACGACTTATGGTGCTGAATACAATCCATTCATTCTGTTATAGCTTCAGTGCAGAAGGCTTTCATGATTTTGTGTGATCTTTGTGAGTGGTGAAAGTCACATTCAGACACATTTTTGGGGGAAAGTACAGTGTCTTGATTGCAGGCACACAGACAATGTCCTTTTGATGTTGCAGCTCAGGAGACTGCCTCAGTTGTTTCCCCTATCACATATACAGAGTAACTTTTATACTTTGAGCCTAGTAATCTTGGTTTGAGGCAATTGTGGAGACTCAAGTGACCCTTTGTGTGACTGTAACAAGGATGTTAACCTTACAACGCATGCTCACAGGGAAAGTTTCAGCCCTAGTTTGCATCAATTTTTAAGACCTCTATGGAGCTGTGGTCGCTTGACCTTGGCTGGCTGTCAGACGTCCACCCAGCTGCTCTCAGTCCCACTTCAGGGGCTTAATAGTTTCCACTTCAGAACACTAATACCAAGATTTGAAAGCCAGGCACCAGACACCATGGTGTCAGGAAGCCCTGAAGGCAGACAAGTTCTATACTCCTTCCTTTAGTGCTTTTGCTCCTATTTCGCTCAAAATCTCCACTGCTTTTGTGTTAGTGTTTCTGCTTGTACTTGTCCTTCCCACCCCACCAAGCCCTTTCTCTGTCTGCTTTCAGCACACTCCAGTGTTTTCTTGCTTAAGGATAGTGTTGAGACATTTCAGTGCTATGTGAAAGCACAAATCTTTGTCGCCCCCCCGAGACAAAGCAAAAGTGTCCTCACACAGATGAACGAAATGGAAACGTTGACAGGTCAGAATGCTCACCAAGCTGTGGTTGGGGTGAGGGTACAGTGTATGCCCTCCTAGGGCTGACCCCATATATCTCACATTTGTTCAGACTCTCCGGTCCTGCCTTGTCCTATGGCATCAACACCGTTAGTGTCAGAGTCATGAAAGGATGAGTGCTCCCAACAGTTCTTCCTTATAAGGAGGGCAGCATACAATTTGAGGAAATACATCCCATTTCCTGGAAATTCTGTGCAATGTGAAAGGAGTGTGCTCTGCACATGAATGAGCATGTACATGGCCAATAGAAGTATGTGAAAACTTTGGATCTTTACTGTTCCTCACTGTTGACACACGCTGGCTCCAGTTTAACCCTTCCTTGCAATGAGTGTGCTCTGGTGCTGAATGTAGTCTACCATGTTCCTCTGGATTAGAGTGTCCTTGAGATGTGTTTATCCTTGTTCCACAACATCTCATGGAGCCTGTGTTGCTGTTCCCTGGAGGTTTTTGTGAGGAGTTAGGTGCTGTGTTACAGTTTCAGTGATACATTTCTTGCTTTACTTGGGATTCAATACTAAATGGGTCATTTGTGTTTGTATGCAGCTGAGGTGGAGCTTCATGGCTTCTCTGCAGAGAAGTGGAAAAGTCAGTTCTGCCAGGGTAGTAAACTTGAGGAGGTGGCTTGAGAGCGTAGGAGAGGACAGTGCATCTTGAAGTGATGTGAAAGAACAGGAGAAAGGAATAGACAGTAAGAACAAGAGGAAGATGGAGTCCTCATAGCAGCCTTCCAGTATCTGAAGGGGGCCTATAAGGATGCTGGAGAGGGACTTTTCATTAGGGACTGTAGTGATAGGACAAGGGGTAATGGGTTAAAACTTAAACAGGAGAAGTTTAGATTGGATATAAGGAAGAAATGCTTTACTGTAAGGGTGGTGAGGCACTGGAATGGGTTGCCCATGGAAGTTGTGAATGCTCCATCCCTGGTGGTGTTCAAGGCCAGGTTGGACAGAGCCTTGGGTGACATGGTTTAGTGTGAGGTGTCCCTGCCTGTGACAGGGCAGCTGGAACTGGATGATCTTAAGGTCCTTCCCAACCCTAACGATTCTGTGATTCTGTGTGTGTTTCTCTCCTCATCATTCCCACCATCTGATCTGATCATGGGAATGAACTTCCTCCACAGGCCTTATTTCTTTTCAGGGCCCAGCTGCCACTGGATGAGGCTACATTTCTCCGTAACCATTAACTCTTCCCCCTGCATGCTTCCTTGGGCAGCAGTAGCAGAAGTCACAATTCTGGTGGGCAGAAGCAGCAACCAGCTGGTTGGGTTGCTCTAGGAAAAAGAGCAGGGAAGTAGGCCATCCATCTATTCTCCCTTTGGTGGGTTTTAGGTGCTAACTGCATGGCTTTACCTGTGCCAGCCTCACCTGGAGGATTGCTTGTGGACAAGCTTGCCCTTAGGGAGCATAGAAGAGAGTTCTGTTGTTCTGTTCTGTATTCATGGTGCCTACTCCAGGGGCTGTGTTGGCGGGTCACAGAGCTGTGTCCATGGCTCCCATTGTGTTTTCGCTTTGTTAGCTGAACCCTGCTGGGGTTGGTGAGGCCATGGTGAGGTGAAGTGATGTGAGCCAGCCTGTGCTGTATGGGGCTGGATCCCCTGGTCTGCCAGGTTTGCTTGGTGTTGTCTTCTGGAGATTCCCACAAGGTGCTCTGGCTGTTTTATGGAGAACCTTAGCCCTGCTCTGGAACCCTGGTGCAAGGGGAGGAGGAGTGTGAGAGGGACAGGGAGCAAAGCTGAATTTAATCTGCAGTCTTCAGGGACAAGGGTGCTTGGGAGATCATAACAAGTCCCCACAACCATCACACTGGCATCTGGTCGCTTCTAAGACAGGGCAGTGTATCAGGAGCCCACTCTTCCCTGTGGCAAACTCTCTTGCTATCACACTGAGTGCCAGATTTAGGCCATCTAAAGCTAGCCCCTGGCCCTAAAATTCAGTCACGCACCTGAATCTTTCTACTGCTGCCTTAATAAAAGCATGCAGGGTCATGATCCTTTTGGTTATAAAAAGAACACTGACTTCAGAAACAACTGTATCCATTTTATATCCAGCCCAAAATATTCCCACCTATTCTTTTGTACATCCCTCCTCTTAACGTTGCCACCTTTTACCATGTAAATGAAGAAATTCCAGGTCTGTGAGGAATTGGGGTGAGTAGCTTAGCTGTACAGATGCAGTGAGTAGCTTACCTGTACAGATGCAGCTGCAGTTGAAAAGCATACCTGAGTGAATGTGCTATAATCCTCCTAAATAATGAGATAATGTCTAGCATGTAGCTTTAAATAACAGGTAGTTCTTGATCTTCCATAGCATTTCCAGTGACTCACTTCTCCCCCCTCCCCACCCGCTGCAGTAATACAGAAGAGTATTGAAGCTCCTGACTCAGAGGGAGGCATCCTTGCAAGGCTTCTGGCCATGCTGGAGCTCCAGCTCTGCAACACTATGGAGTAGATGGTGGGGGCATCACGGTAGCAGGTCAGGACTGCACTAACAATAACCCAAGCACGGAACCAGTGGTAGCAAGCCATTAAAGTTTGCTTTGAATTCTTAGCCAGAAATCTGGTTGCCAGAATCTCGGCTCTAAAATATTCTTGTATCAAAACTGGGTGCTTGCAGAAAAGACGTTCCAGGGGGCACATCTGGTGGCTTCTCTGTCAGGCTACACTAGGAAACTGCAAGGTGTGAAAGTTAAGAATAGACAAGTGTGCTCCCACACTGATTTGTTGTGGTTTCATGGCTTTTGAAGAGAAAGGATCTTCCGGCAGACCCATAGGAACACAGGGCATGAGGCTTACAACGCAGGCCAAGGGATCGGGTTTGGCTGCGCATCAAGGGAGCTGTGGGGCAAGGTTCTTGTGCATTGACCCCTCCAACTCCATGAGCCCCATTGTTTCTCCCTCTGGGGAGCAATTCAGCCGGTACTGCAAGCCAGCACGTCACGTATGCACTGACTGGCTGCAGCTGGCCTGGTTGCTCTGGGAGCTGCAGAATGGCAGCAGTGACATGCTGCCAAATGTGACCTGACAGCCCTGCCATGAGGACACTCAGGACTCTGAGGGAGACAGGCAGAAGTGGACCAAAGGACTCGAGTCTCCTGTTTGCCCCATGAGATGTCAGATGTGACAGGCACATGGATGGGTCTTGGTTGTTTTCATGTTCATGCAGCCTCCATTCATGATGCAGCTTTGAACATGTAGTAAAGCCACACTCTTACTTGGTGCTGCTGCAGGCAGCTGTGCGCAGCCAGCCACCAGGTCTCTGCTTGTAAGAAATGTATATGAAATTTTCTTGCCGTCGGGTGAGTGTATTCAGAAATGGATCTATGGAAGTTGGGCCAAATTTCTTGGTGATGGGAGTGGATTTTCCTGTGCCTTAAATGCTGCACAGAACCCCACTGTCTATTTTGACGCAAATGAAATCTGCAAATTTGCTATTGTTTCCATGTTAAGCATGGGGATATTCTCTTTAATTTCTGTGTAAGAATGAGGGACTTGATTATTTTTTTGTTGTTATGGTGCAGTGTTTTGAAATGCTTAGGCCAGAAAACATTCCGCATGAGCATGATGTTCCTATTTCTTGCTTCTCAAAGGATAGAAATTTGTTACCCAAGTACTGCTGTGGCATAATGTGTGGTCAAGCACAGCTATTCTGAGATTATCCCTGTCAAAGGGCTAGTGCACTTAGTTCATGGTTCACAACCCTCAGTTAGATGCCCAAGAGCCCTATGAAATAGATAGAAGAGCTGCATGTCAACAGTTGATACGCACAAAAGTTACACACCTGAGCAGGCAGCTCTCTGGCATCATCAAAGCAATGCAGAAAGGACTGCACATGAAATACTCTCATGCACTTGGATTTAAACTTCAGCCCTCTATGAAGTAGGACGTGCAATTCAAAACCCTTGCCTGGGTTTAGATGCCTTCACCACCCCTCTTGCAATGGACTGCTAGCTCACTATCTTAGTGACAAGTCATGGAGAAGGTGGAGCTCATGGTACCCACCACCAATACTACAGGCTAAATGTCTGAAGTGCCTAGGAAGAGGGAATCTGTGCTTGCTGTCACCTTGTGCTGCGCAGGAGAGCTCCCACTTTGTGTTCTGGTGAAGCCAGAAACTTGTTCATAAAGACAGAGGGATATATATATATATACATACAAATGCAGATTATTTTTTAAATAAACAATTTATTGTCCCAGGTCGGATCCCTGCTTCTGGGACTTTGATGAAGTACTCTGACCACTACCATGGAATCATAGAATCACAGAATGGTTTGGGTTGGAACGGACCTTAAAGCTCATCTAGTTCCAGCCCACTGCCATGGGCAGGGATGCCTTCCACTGGACCAGGTTGCTCGAAGCCCCATCCAACCTGGCCTTGAACACTGCCAGGGATGGGGCAGCCACAGCTTCACTGGGCAACCTGTGCCAGTGCCTCACTACCCTCACAGGGAAGAATTTCTTCCTAATATCTAATCTAAATCTACTCTCTTTCAGTTGCATATAGTGCATATACTGTACTGTGGCATATAACATAGGTAGTGTCTCGTCTGTGTGAATTTTGTTTGTTTGTTAATTTGATGAGTGGCCTGACTGAGCTGCTTTGTGCCAGCAAAGTGAACGTTCTCTGAGAACCCAGCAGTGTTCCCAACACCTTTTGGGGAGGTGAGCTCTCAGGCGCCTTCTCTGTAAATTTTGATGACCTGAAGTGTGAGACCGGCACTGAGATGCTGAAGTCGTACATTTGGATGTGCAGATGCTTCTACGGATCTGAGATGTAAATTCAGATGTCAACGAGAAGTGACTACATGGCTTGTGGGATGTTTCAGCTGTTGATTTCTCTTTTCAGGCTGAGCAGACCATTAATGAGTGAATGGGCTCCACTGGGGAAGCTTGTCCTCACATCATGACAGCTGACAAGGCAGAAGCTGGAGAGTTAGCTCTGGAGCCCCTGCTCACTTGCAAACTATGCCTCTGTGAATATTCCCTGGATAAGATGACTACTCTTCAGGAATGCAGCTGCATCTTTTGTACATCGGTAAGTTCCAGCATTATCTTTACATTACAGGAGCGATGTAATGGGAGATGTGCAGAACTGTGAGATGGGTTTGCTTCTCCTGTACAAGAAATGTGTGTTATCTATGCTGATAGAGGATGCTCTCCTGCTCCACTTAGGCGTATACAAATCTATGGGGCCAGATAGGTTACACCCAAGAGTGCTGAAGGAGCTGGCAAGGAGCTTGCTAATCCACTCTCCATCATCTATCAGCAGTCCTGGTCTAGTGGGAAAGTCCCAGGGGATTGGAGACTGGCCAACATGACGCCTCTCTACAAAAAGGCAGGAAAGAAGACCCTGGAAACTACAGGCCTGTCAGCCTGACCTCAGTGCTGGGGAAGGACGTGGAGCAGATGGTCCTAAGTGAGATCATAAAGCATGTGTGGGAAAATGGATGGATCAGGCCCAGTCATGAACCATGGGTTCATGAAGGGCGGGTCCTGCTTGACCAACCTGATCTTCTGCGATAAGGTGACCTGCCTGGTTGATGAAGGAAAGGCTGTGGACATTGTCTCTTTGGATAGTAAAGCATTTGACACTGTCTCCCGCTCTCTCCAGTGTCCTCCTGAAGAAACTGGCTGCTGATAGTCTGGATAGGTGTGTTCTTCACTGGGTTGGAAACTGGCTGGATGGCTGAGCCCAACGAGTGGTGGTGAATGGTGTCACATCTAATTGTCAAGCAGTCAGTAGTGGTGTCTCTCAGGGCTCGGTGTTAGGGCCAGTGTTGTTTAACATTTTCATTGATGATCTGGGTGAGAGGATTGAGCGTACCCTCAGTAAATTTGTGGATGACACCAAGCTGAGCTGTACTGTTGATCCACTGGAGGATAGGGAGGCTCTGCAGTGGGATCTGGACAGGCTGGATCAATGGGCTCTGGCCAATGGTACGAGGTTCAACAAGACAAAGTGCTGGGTCCTGCATTTGGGCCATAACAACCACATGCAATACTCCAGGCTTGGGGAAGAGCGGCTGAAAAGCTGCGCAGGGAAGAGGACCTGGGGGTGCTGATTGACAGAGCTGAACATGAGCCAGCTTGTGCCCAGGCAGCCAAGAAGGCCAAGAGCATCCTGGCCTGTATCAGCAATATTGTGGTCAGCAGGGCCAGGAAAGTGATCATCCCCCTGTAGTACTGGGCGCTGGTGAGGCTGCACCTCGGTTCTTAGCCCCTTACTACAAGAAAGACATTGAGGTGCTGGAGCGGGTCCAGAGAGTGGCAACAAAGCTGATGAAGGGTCTGGAGCACAAGTGTGATGAGGAATGTCTGAGGGAACTGGGATTGTTTAGTCTGGAGAAGGGAAGGCTCAGTGGGGACCATATTGCTCCTACAAGTACCTGAAAGGAGGTTGTAGTGAGGTAGGGTCTGTCTCTTCTCCCAAGTAACAAGTGATAGGACAAGAGGAAACAGCCTCAATCTGCGCCAGGGGAGATTTAGAGTGGATTTTAGGAACAATTTATTCACCAGGAGGGTGGTGAGGTATTAGAACAGGCTTCCCAGGGAAGTGGTGAAATCACCGTCTGAAGAGTGTTCACAAACCATGTAGATGAGGCCCCTGGTGATATGGTTTAGTGGTGGAATTGGCAGTCCTGGGTAATGGCTGGACTTGATGATCTTGAAGGTCTTTTCCAACCTAGCTGATTCTGAGATTCTATTTGTCTGTCTTGCCTTATTTAAAAGACTTATCTGTCATTCTGCTTTTGATAATATGTGAAAGGGTTTTGTTCTTTTTAACTTTGTAATAAATGTACTTGGTTTTATTTTTTTAACAACAAATTGTGGATAAGCTTCAAGCAAGTACATTTAAGTTTTGCCCTTGATTGTTTGAACTCATGGAAGAAAGGTGGTATTCGTGAAGCCAGACTGTGTGAGAGTATCTTCATTTATTCTGAATTCAGGAAAGCTTAAATGAGGTAAGAATCCAGCTGTGTTTCAGGAAAGCAGGATAAGATCGATTAATATACATTTTCAACCCAGACCTCATGAATTTTGTTTTCCATGCCAATTTCCAGAAAACATTTTTGTATCTTAGTTTTAAGAAAACTTACAAGTAGGTATGAAGATATTGCTTTAAATTAAAAAAAAAAGGAAAGTTAATACCTTTACAGTGCTCCCACTGTTCTCCAAGAATTAAGTGAATCTGGTTCAGTATCATCAATGGCACATTAACCTCAGTGTTAGCTGGGCATGGAAGGGAGGACTGCTGAGGACTATGCCAGGCAGCCCTGGGCTCTCCACTCCTCCAGGGCACTGGCCAAAGGGAGAGGTCGGTGATGGCTAGGGATGTTGCTGTCCCTGCCTGTCCCCAGTTGATGCTGCAGCTGCCACTCCATACATACACCCCTTACCTGGCTGTAGCAGGAAGAGCATCTGCTCTGAGCTTGGTTCTCCAATGCCATGACAGCGAAGAGGAGAGTACAGGCACAGTTGTTTGGCATTTGTGCAAACTTCGCTGACTTCCTCTGAACCAAGAGCCAGCTGTGAGTGACTGCTGAATGCAGCTGGGAGAAGCTTTAGACATGCTCTGTTTATTTCAGTGGGTGTAATATGTCTCAGTTGTGTTTACGTACCATGCCTACCCTTTGTCTGGCTGTTGTTGCCTGTGTCTGAATATCCTCTCAATGGACATGTCTGGACTGATGCAACAGAAACACGTAGATCTTACATCCTGTATCAGAGGGCTCTTGAAACTTTTAACTTGCCTATATGGCTTTCTGTCTTGAATCCAGAGCAGTTTCTGGGAGGCCGTATATGTTGCCCCTTGGGCAGCACTGAAGAGTAGAACCAGAAGCATCTTGCCACAGAAGGCTTTGGTGCTGGGGCTTGCATGAGTGAGTGCTCAGGGCCACAGCCTGCAGTAGCTGCACTAGTATGCAATGCCCTAAATTTCCTCCTGCTTATGGCAGTGCTTCTAGATTCTTTTATTCTAGCCTTAAGATAGAGATTGGGGTAAGAATGTCAACTGTGAGCTATGGGATTGAGTCCATAGGAGTTTTTCAGCTGGCAATGCCTTTCATCGTATGTAGCTTATTCTTATCTCCTACCACTAGGTTAATTATATAGATCCAAGAGTAGTTTAAAATTTGAAATTGAAAAGGGCTTGACATGGACATAATAGGTTCTGCTCTACTAAGATGAAACAGTTTAGTTTCTTTTTTGTTCTATTACATGTGTGACATCTTTTTTTGTTTTTGCTAACTAATGATGATTCCACATCTATGATTGTTTTTCACTGCAGCATTTTTGGCTGTGGTAATAATTGGAAATTGTTACTATTTAGGCATCTGTGGGGGTGAGCTTGTATCTCCTTTCACTTGTAGTCTTTAAAACCAAGGAATTCAAATGAGTTAGAATTGTGTACAGCTATTTTTCATCTTAGAAACTCTTTTAATAAACATTATCCCTTGTAAAAGCTGTGTTCTAGCCAAAGTAAGTAACCTGTGTTTAAGAAGATGTATGTTTGCATTTTGGTGGAATGTTGCTAGTAAGACAGGAGTTTTCAAATAGCTATACACATTTTTACTTTCTGTGTTCAGAGAAGAAAAAGCAGATGGCTTGCAGAACACACCCTCTTATTTGGTAGCCTGGTCAGGTCTGAAGAGGCATCAGCCTTGTATTTATCAACGTGTTTTGCATTTGTAAGACTCTACTGAAATGTGAGATAAAGCACACACTGACACATCCTAAGAATTTGAAAATGGCTCTAGAGTACCTGATGGCTTCGCAGTTTGCATTACTCAATTCATTTCCTATACCCATAAAATCTTTGTGGAAGTGCCATGGTGTGGCCCACATTCTTCTGTATATATATATGTTCAGCAATGTATGTGTTACGGAACTTTCTGCTATTTGCCCCATTCCCAAAAGTGGAGGGGCTGTCGTCTATTCCTGATACTGCTTATCTTGTTTTTGTCTTGCCATTCATCCTTCTTGTATATTTGGTGGGATGTCCTTCCTATCTTCAGTCCTTTGTGCTTTTCTTGTCTTTCAGTTTTTTCTGCCATGAATACGCCCATGTGCAACTGCTGAGGTTTTACCCCTATGGTGGTTACATCACTCACACATGTACGTGAAATAATTATGCGCTGTGTCTGGCTACACCATCACAAGGTTACAACATACAGTATTTTAGTCCACTTGTATCTGGGTTCAAAGGAACTAATATTAATTGTGTCCTGATTGGTACACCTATAGAATTATATTGTGAATATTAGACTCATTCCTAGTCAATTCTACATGTTTGTATCCTTTGCTCTTCTCCTTCCCTCTGGTAGCTCCAGAGGTGCCTCACACAGGCAAGATTCAGCAGTGCTTGAAGAGGGTAGTACCAGAAATGGATGGGCCGACCACCTAGTTTTGCTTTTGGAGGGGGCACTGGATGTTACCCAGGCTTTGGGACTCATTAAACTAACTGGAAAGTATACATCTTGGACACTCCTGCCTTTTCAAAACCTGGCTGAAAGTGGGAAGATAGCTGCCAGAGATGAGTGGTGTGAGCACATGCACCTCACTTCCTATTGCAAGTAGTTCCTTGGTAGCTGGCCCAGCATAAATTACACTGTGGAAGCAGTAGTGAGGAGTGTAGGACTAGCAGTAAAACTGGAAATACTAAGGGCCCTGTGTAAGACTTGGTGCGAGTCTGGAGCCTGTAGCAGTCATGGAGATGAGGTTTTACCAGGTGTGATAAGACTGCTATGGAGGCAGTGATGATAGAAGAGAATCAGTGCAGTGCTGTTACGGAAAACATGGTTTTGGGGGTCAGTAAAAAAGCCAGTGTCAGCTTCTTCCTTGCATGACTATTCTGTTTGGTTTTGTCTTTTGTCTTTTCTCCTTCCTCCTTAGCATTTCAGAGTCCTGATGAGAGCCAGGTGAGCAATAAAAACATTGCTGCTATTTACATCAAACAGCTTCTTAGATCCATCTGTGTGTTATTTACTGGAACAGGGTTTGATATGCCTAAGACAACAGATAACAAACCCTGAAGAT